GAAGCTATTTCTGGGATTCAAGGTCTCCTGAAGTAGTTAAGGAACAGTAGCAGTGATAATTGTGAGAAAGACACAGGAAGCGAGGGAATGAGTGGTGAACACAGGTTAATAATACTTACGGAGATGCTCTGAATTTCTCTGGTGAGTGATGTTTGGAGCTGCTGGGTACCTTATTTATTATATAATTGCTCTTCAAGAAGCCATTGCCAGTTTTGATCTCTGCCACATATTCTCTCTCTCTCTCTCTCTCATCTTTAAACACAGAAGACACAGAGATGGAGAGCTACAGGTCAGAAGGTTATTTTAACTTTATGAAAGGACAGCCTAAACAGAAGACAGGCATTATGGCCAAAGTTTGTGCTCAGTAAAGAGTCCCTTTGTGTCAACAAATGAAATCAAAAGAAAAATTTGGGGAATAAGCCTTATGAAATGTGCCCACTTTATGTGGCTTTTTTGCATCAGTATTGGTTAGTGGCATCCTAAGGGACCCTTCCCACTCTCACCCTCCATCTGGCAACTTTATCGTTTTTAAAAGAAAGCGTAACACGTGAGAGCCAACGATTGTATTTAATGCTAAATTTAGATCAATATAAATTGGGGGATAAATTTATTATGATGGCCGGGCGCAGTGGCTCACGCCTGTAATCCTAGCTCTCTGGGAGGCCGAGGCGGGCGGATTGTTTAAGCTCAGGAGTTCGAAACCAGCCTGAGCAAGAGCAAGACCCCGTCTCTACTGAAAATAGAAAGAAATTAATTGGACAACTAAAAATACATAGAAAAAATTAGCCGGGCATGGTGGCGCATGCCTATAGTCCCAGCTACTTGGGAGGCTGAGGCAGAAGGATCGCTTGAGCCCAGGAGTTTGAGGTTGCTGTGAGCTAGGATGACGCCACGGCACTCAAGTCCGGGCAACACAGTGAGACTCTGTCTCAGAAAAAAAAAAAAAAAATTTATTATGATAATTTTGCATGAGAAATAATATAGTACAGAAAATAGATTATAGGATTTTTTATTTTATGTTGAATTTATGCTAAATAGTTCCACTTAAGTATTTAATAAGTCGTAAGTCTTTTATTTTCTATTTTTAGCATTTTTTCACTGTAGCATTACAGAAGAATTGCTCAGGATATGCTTATAGGCCTAGATAAGGAGTCACATGAATGGACATTATGCACAAAGAGGTTATTTAATGTGTAGATGGATAAAACCAAACATTTCTTCAATTATTCTATAGATTAATAATCAGTTATACTCTCTGACCCTGATAAGAAATGAGTTTAAGGTAAAGCATTAAGGGTTTAGGCTTGACAAATACAAGTTTGCTGAGGACTGTAGAGTGGTTACCTGGGAAAGGAATTGCTTAGGAACATGTGAGTTGGCCTTTTCTAGAAGTTGTTAATGCTGGCTTGGTTTTTTTGTTGGTAGCCTCTCAAGAGTCTCTTCGTGGGATTTTATGACTTTCTAGCTTTTACACTTGGAGACACAAAAATATGAATATTTTGCCTTTGCTTTCTATTGTATAACAAATTGGGATGGTTATTTAAACTCTTGAGTTTAATACACTGGTGTATTCCCATGATCACAAAATACATGTTCTTGATAGTGATGTGCTTGTGTATTTATCTGCTAGCCACTTCATGACTCTACCCCATGTTGCATCCTTTACTGAAAAGAAGCAAGTTTTAACTCTTGACTCGGATACTTAAATACAGGAATTTTAGTGTTGTCATCTTTTATTATTATTACCAGTTAAGGAGAGGCCTAGATAAGGAAAGACGACTTTGAAAAAAATATCAAGTGTTTCAGATTGCTCTTGTATTTTCTACCTCTGGCTTGATAAGCATCACCTGCATTTCTAAATACATTTTCAAGTGCATTAGATGTACTTTCTATAGGGTACCCCAGCCAAGTGAAAAATTTGAAGAAAGCCCTCTATGTTAAGCCACAGTTTAAAGGCTTTTGAATTACTTATAAAATATTTTGATAGCATAACTACATGAAACTAGGCCTTGATAATACAGTTTTAGGTAAACGATTTCTTCAAGAGTCATATGTGGTTATATTAAAATGTGTCCTTCAAAGGCTGTTAGTGTGCATTGTTTTGAGAGAAGAAAGGTGAAGGTTAGGAGTGGAGGGAAAATCTGTCTTTAACTTTGGACTCTCTTTATGTAGCCTGTATTTCTCACTAGTATTTGGCTTTCCTTAAAAACAAACTGAGCTTCATTCATACTTATAGGTCCAACCAAATATTGAATACTGAAACCTACAACAAACTATTGATCCCTTAGTCAAAGATCCTGGCTATTTATTAATATGCCATACTCAATTATTCCTATATCTGTGAATATTATACTTGGTAATCTCTTTACATATAAATAGAAAACCAGATGATTTATGACCATAACTGCCTTTCACTGAGGTGAAACATGGGTTACTTCATCTTTTTTGCCAATTTCCTGAATATATATGTTAGATACTGACAATTACTACTTTCCAGACCATTGTTTCCAAGGCAGATTGTAAAGTGTTTTAAAGTCAAGGTAAAGGTCTCAGTGAAACTAAATGGAGAACAGGAGCTTTCAAATCTGAGACTGTTTTTAATTTTGCCAACTTAACTTCCTAATGTGCCATAAATTTGCTTTTCTTTCCAAAAGGAGATAACCCTTCCTACAGTTTGAACACAGGGAGCTTCCATTATTAATATTCTTTCTTTGTTTAAACTTGATTTTTGCTTTGGACTAAACGGAAACTTGGCAGAGTTTCCAAGTTCGTATATGAGACTACACTCCTCTCTATCCAAATACATGTTTAAGGACAGGGTTCCTGCAGGCAGGAAAAATTGCCTTCCCTCTCTTTGGAAGACTTTCAGCCCCTTCTTTTCCTCTGCACTTATTTCTCTGGCGGGAGCGGTGGGGAGGGGCAGATATTTAGTGCCATCAGTATAGAATTAGCTCAATAGCTTAGCAGCAGTAAAGATACTTTTTCAAAATCAACTCCTGAATGTTCTAGCTGATAACAGAATGACTCCTTTCCCCTGAGGAGGTTTGTTGGTCTTCTTTTACCTGCCACTTTGAAAATGGGGTGAGAAATACCATAATAGTGTAGGGGAGGAAAAACTTTTCCTCACTCTCTTAGGTTTGTGTATGAGGCCTGCACATTAAACTGAGAAAAGATTTACAGGAGAAAAAATTTACAAATTTTATTGATGTTAATATTTTTAATTTTGCATGCACAAGGGCTTCACAGAAAAAAAGTGAAAATCCAAAGAGGCAGTTAGACTTCGAAGTTTGTATACCACTTTAACAAAGGGAGACAAATTGTGGTGAAGCGACTGGACAAAGGACAAAGGGTTAGGGCTCTGGGGGTGGTGAATTGTGGGAAGGTAAATATATGGGAAACTAATGGCAGATAATAGTGGTTATTTTAGGAAGGGTTGTTTGTACCACTCATCTTGGTACCAACTTTCCATCATCTTCATGGCCATAAAACTCTCCTAGAGAGGGGATTTATAGCAGTTCCCATTTTTAAGAAGTTTCTGCTTTTAGTCAGATTTGGGAAGCTCCAAGAAGACTTCTTTCTCCATCTGTTGCTTCTCAGTTGCCTTCAGGTCAAAATAATCTATATGCCAAAGTGGCATATTTTGGCATGCCCTGTTTTGATCCCTTTCAGTATTTAGAGAGGAAAATGTAGACAAAAATCTTTGACCTGGTGACTCTGCCATCAACAAACACAGGGACATTCAACATATCATTTAACATGCCTGAGTCCCCAATTTCATTATCTAGAAAACAAGGCAATTGGATTATATGATTTCTAAAGATTCGTGTTGTTCTAAAATTACTTATTGTTCTTAAGGATCTTGAATGTAGTCGCTCTTGCATACATACAGTTTGCTCTTATCTCTCAAGACAATGTAGACCTAAGGTTTATCCAGTGTACATGAAATTTCTGCCACCACACTTCAAAGACCTTAATCTTTGATATCTACTTAACCTAGGAACAGTGATTGAAGGGAATATATTTGAAGGAGATCTTGGGAGGGTTGGCTTGCAGCAAGTGGAAGGACCTTAGAAATGTTTATTGCTATTTTAAGATCTGGTTATCTTTCAGTTGTCTAGCTGATGTTTCCTAAGCAACTTGTCACAATTTCTGGCTTAACCCTAAATCTGAGTTTGCCAATTCCCAGGCTAGCTCAAAGCCAATCAAAATCCTCCTTTCATTTTTATACTCCAGGGTGCTGTGGAGACAGCATGGACTTTGGAGTCAACCAGAGCTGGGAGTTCATAATCTGACTGTGCCTTTTTCTGATTTTTTTTTTTTTTTAGAGACAGTCTTGCTCTGTTTCCCAGGCTGGAGTGCAGTGTTGTGATCATAGCTCACGGCAACTTGAACTCCTGGGCTCAAGGGATTCTCCTGCCTCATCCTCCCTAGTAGCTAGGACTATAGGAACACACCACCATGTCCAGCTATTTTTTTTTTTTTTTTCTGTTTTTTACAGAGAGGAGCTCTTACTATGTTGCCCAGGCTGGTCTTGAACTGCTGGCCTCAAGTGATCCTCCCAGCTTGGTCTCCCAAAGTGCCAGGATTACAGGTGTAAGCCACCAGGCCCAGGCTTCTGATTTTTTTGTTTTTTTTTTGATACCAATTAAGTTCTCTGTGCCTCAGGGTCCTTATCTATAAAACAGTAATACTTAAGTACTTACCTTAAAAATTATTTTAAGATCAAATGAGATAACAGATGGGAAGAACTTTTCACATGCCTCATAATGAGAACGCCCAACGTTTGTATACCTCTTTATCATTTATGAAACACCAGCATAGTAGCAGTTTCATTTAGGGCATTGTGTGGTTTGCTTTGCTGGGTAAAATATCGCTTAGATATTAAGCTCTCAGCCAGGCTTGCTGGGCTGGGACCATAGGCCTTTGGATCTTGGTCATGGTAGTTGGAGAGCCTTGGCTATCTTGGAGTCCCCTCTAAAACATCTCTTTATCTTTTCCAGGAATCTGAATTTCTGTGTTTGGAATGTGATGAGGTCAAGGTCAACCAAATTCTGAAGAAGCTCTCAGAGGTAGAAGAAAGTATCAGCACACTGATGCAGCCAGCCTAACTGAAGATGATGAAGGAAGGAGCTGGAGTTGTAGGAACAAAGGTGTTGATGATCCCTCCCCACCGACCTTTTTAAAAAATATTCTTTTTCCCTCATTGGTATTAAATCCTCAAAATCAATCTTGTCTCCCTCTGCTTACTCAGATTTCTTTCTCTCTCCCTTTCATTTACTCTTAACAGTTGTTCTAGTGCAGAGGTTCTCAGACTTCGCATGCACAGAGGTTATAAGGGGTACTTATAAAGCATTTAAGTGGAAAAAAAAAAGGCAGGCTTCCAGGGCCCTATCCCCAGAGACTTCGTTTCAGTAGGACTGGGGTAGGTGGGGTTAACTCTAGAAACCCTTGCCATGGTGGTTTGTTATGGGTGAGATGTTAAGGGATTTGTACAAGATAAATCATGCAAGAATTAGAAAAGGAGGAAGAAAACATTTTGGTTATGCAGATACAGGGCTGACCAAGTGCCATGTGTCCTGAGCTGAGGCATAGTGAAGCCTGCCTAACCTAGAAAGGATATACCTGACCCTAGTAAAATTTGAGATGCTTCTGGAACTGATTCAGACATTTGGATTAGTTCCGCCTAAATCTGGGGAGTCTGGTTTGATTTGAACTACTGAGGGACTCAAGCTTTTCTGGAACCCAGAACTAAACTGGCATTGTATTAATAACAAAGGGACTCCTTTCGCTTGCCTCAAATCAGAATTGTGGAGAGAGGAAAATGTCTGCTGAGGTGATTTCTTTTACCTCAGAAAATTTTATGTGAGTCATCAAATAAAACCTCTTCCAGAAAATTTCTTTAAGAAGAGCTAGTATAATAAAAACTAGGTCCTGGTAGAGAAGTTACCAAATACCCAAGAATATTCCAAAAGGAGAAGGCTGTCAACCAGTATATGGAGGCTATGGTCCTTGTTGAACAGGTTTTATCATCTGATACTGATAATATTTAGAAACTGCAGTTGCCTTTAGGATGTAATATGTCCAAAAAATGTGGTTCTCTTGGTCTGTGGCTACAGCGTATGTCAGTGCTAATGAGTTTATTTCAGGGCAGGAATAGTCCTCTTCTGTTAAGCAATTTCTTCTAAATCAACCCGGAAACATTTCAGGAACTCTTCCAACATCCAAGCTGAAATTATTGGCTTCTTCCCTGATTAAAACCATCCTAGCAGTTAGCAAACAATGACCAGAAGGTTTTAAATGTAGCCCCTGTGGACCTTTCAGAAAACATCTTGAAACAGTCCTGTAAATAGATTCAGGAAAGGCATGTGGTTTGGACCAAAAACTATTAAAACTTGCTTTCTGTTCCCAAGGCTACTGCTATGTAATCTAGGAGAATTTAGATAACGTCTCCTGCTGTAAAATGGAGGAAAATAATATCTCATCAGATAATGGGATTCCAGATGTCCTTGGAAAGAAGAACTATAGTTACCACACTAGTATTGATTCACATATCCCATGAAAGTTTATGGAAGCTTAAAGGAACAGACCATGGGCTAGAGGGAGAGGAAATAATTGTTGTAGTTTGAAGCTCTGTTTGGGTCATTCATGGAAGTAATAGCCACAAAAGTGGTCATGACCTTTTTTTATTATATCCCCAAACCCTAGGTCATTGGAAAAACTACTGTTAATGTATACTGAGTTTTCCAGAATTAAAAAACAAAACAAAAAATGAGTTGCTGAAGGTGGTCCCCACATTTAACACTAAACACTTTTGAATGCAAGTTCTTTTCGACAGGGTATGTTTTACATTTACTGAAGATTTTTTTATTTTGATTATCAAAGGAATATATATTTACTATAGTCTATAAAGAAAGTACATAAACAGGCTGGGCACAATGGCTCATGCCAATAATCCTAGCACTCTGGGAGGCTGAGGTGGGAGGATCACTTGAGGTCAGGAGTACAAGACCAGCCTGAGCAAGAGTGAGACCCTATCTCTTCTAAAAACAGAAAAAATTAGCCGGGGCTGGTGGCACATGCCTCTAGTCCCAGCTACTTGGGAGGCTGAGGCAGGAGGATCACTTGAACCCAGGAGTTTGAGGTTGCTATGAACTAGGCTGACACCATGGCACTCTAGCCCGGGCGACAAGTGAGACTCTGTCCCCGCCTAAAAGCAAATTAAAAAAAATAAAGTACAGGAACATACTAAGAAGAACTGTTAATGACTTATCAACCTAATATACAGAGATAACAGAAAGAAAGCTAGAACTAGGAGAAGAGTTGACTTTCCTTCAATAAATTCCTGGCAGTAAACTACATGGTTTTTAAGACTTTGATAAACATTGCCAAATTGTTCTCCAGAAAGGATATATCAGTTTGTATTCCCTCTAAGAAAGTATAAATCACTCTCCTTCTTGCCTAATTGGTATTTTCTGGGACTAAGTTGTTTTTGTAAATTTTTATAAGGGACACTTATATTAAACCAAGACATCTCCCTGGTAACAATGGAAGCATGGAGTAAGGATCAGGAAAGGAAAAAAGTGGCATAAGGGTCCCTGAGACCCCACTAGGTTTTCTACTTCTGTGATCCTAGGTTAAAACTTTGCTTTGATTTCAGGAAATTTGGGACAAAATAAAAATTAATTCTCAGCCTGAATTGGGCCTTATAGAAATTATCCCTGCTTGATCAATAAGCAACTTCAGTCTGTTTAGAAACAGTCCAGCTAAGACAAAAGTTAGCTTTCAGAACCAAGTCAGAAAGTAACTCCAGCCTTCAGTAGTTTCATGTTGATAAGGACTAAAGGATTTGGCCTTATTCTCAGGTCTGGCTTTTCTTGGAAGCTCTGGTTCTTATCACTTTTATCAGCAAAGGCCTAAATTCCAGCATCATAGCCTCTTTTCTCCTTTATATAACCTCTCTTCCCCCAGTGTTATTTTAATAATGATTCGAAATAATTATAGCATTTTAAAAATTTAGTTTAACTATTCTCCCCCAAATGCAAGACGACAGTGAAAAGCAAAGGATGACATTGAGTATCTGAAATCTTAAATAGCTGACATTGTGTCAAGCTATTAATTATTGAACTTCTTTTTTTAGACCTGAGTGAAAATTTGGAAAACAGAATATAAATAGAAATTAAAGGAAAATAAATGCTAAACAGATGTTAGAAAATATTGTTTTCTAAAGTGCACAGTAAATATCTAGACCAGTGAAAGGGACAGATTATAGAAGGAATCCTTCTAGGATCAGCTGAGAAATGAGTGGATACTTTTATAAAATAACAGGGTGCCAGAAAGGAATGGGCCTTTATAAGATGGGCTATCTTATAATTCTTAACTCTCCAATTTTACAGCCAAAGTTTTCAGATATTTTAAATGGTGATTTAGCCAGCAAAAGGGAAAACCCAAATAGAACATAGTTAGCTTAAGCTTAACTCTAGTTGTAGAATATACAGATTTTGACCTCAAATATTGAGAAATAGCAAATTTATCTAAGTGTGGTCAAGTTTTCCTTATATGAGGATGGCCATAATTGTCTCTCCTAGCAACCCAACTATATGAAACACTGAACTACTTTGTTGCAAAGGAACCTGCCTGAGCCTGCTTCCTGTCAGATAAATGGTGCCAACTGACGTAGCTTACAAGTTTGGTACATAAATTATCAGAATAAAATACTAAAGCTATACATGAGCAGAGAGTAAAATATAGGTATTTAGATCATTTATTCACCAAGGACTGTAATTAGACCTTTTGTTTCTCTTTCACCTGCTCTTGGCTAGTTTCTGTTTCCTGCTGGTGTTAGGGTTTTACGTTTTGTTGATTCACAGGATGCAGGTGGGGGAGAGAGATGGAAAGGGAGAAAATACGGATTTGATTGCTCAAGTGGAATAAGATGAAACTGTTAGTTTAAAAGAATTCCAGGCTGAAAGATGAAAATAGTTAAGTGCTTTCCTTTAATGTTAATTATACTGTTTTTACATTAAAGAAATAAAAATAAATTTGGGGATTTTATATGATTTACATTCCAGCTATTTTTAGAACCATGGGTAAGAATTGGCATGGATTTCAGAATGATTGATTTGGAGGCTTTAGCATTTTGTCAAAAATGAGGAAGCATCTGGACAGACAGCAGAGGCCATGGTCAGGAAGAAATTTCAGAGCTACTATATTCCATCTCTATGTTCTACCTTCTAGCCCTTCAAAAGAATAATATGTGCTTGTAAAAAATGCCTATGTCCTTGCTCATTGTGCTTAGATGATGACAGTTCCTACAGTGAGGATTTTGTTATACATATGTGACCTTGGGGTAGGCCTAATGTCACTTGCACTCTGCCTCCATGTTAGACCTGTCTCTGTACTTGGAGCTGCTCTCACCCTTGGTAGAGCCTGATGCTATTTGTGATGGCCTTAGCCTCACTTTCCACTCAGTGCCACCCATCTCTGGGTACAGTGTGCAAGATGAGTGAGTTTGCTGCCACGTGGGGCTTCCTGGCTGTCCACAGTACCCAGGTGGCCGACAGATTATCCTCATCCTTGCTGGATAACCATTGACCAAAGCTTGCTAAATGCAGTGTAACTCTTGGCCATTAATTAGTCGAAACAGTTTCTGTAGTGAATTCTATAACAGCTACACTCCTCACTATTACGGTTTTCTCAACATAGTCTCATGGTATAGTAGAACAGAGATCAAATTTTTAATTATAAAAGTAATACCAACTTAAAAAATATTAATAAGTATTTAATTTTTGAATCAGCACAGAATTGTATTGAGCAATCACTGATTGGAGGGTTGCTGGAAAAAAGGAAAAAGAGAAATAATAAGAGTAATTTTTTAGGCCGGGCGCGGTGGCTCACGCCTGTAACCCTAGGACTCTGGGAGGCCGAAGCGGGCAGATTGTTTGTGCTCAGGAGTTCGAAA